AAAAAAAAAAGAATGGCCATTTGGGAACTCTCCGTATTTGTCAGTTGGGCTGATTGTGATTAGCACTTATTACATTATTTAAACTTTCCAAAGAATAACTAAAACTAATAGCATAACTATCAAAATTTAAGAGGCACAGGAAAGCTCTCCCATCTTTCATAGCACAGGCATATATTTGACAGATAATAACTAAAGCTTTAAAATAAACCAAGAAATAGTAGTACCAGCACATTATTTAGTCTTTTTTATGGTAACCATGAAAATAACTAAAAACAATCTATTTGAATTAACACAGTTAACAAAAAAACCCACAAAACCCCCAAACTATTAAGAATGGCTTCTAAGGAGCAAACTGAAGAAAAGAAGAGGCAATTAGGAGCAATGCTTTCCATCATAATCCCTTCTGTACTATCTTTTTAAAAATCATAAGCATGTATTTCTTCAAAATAAATAAAAAGAAATTGAAAATAAAATGATGAAAACTGAGGAGAAAATGTAAGAAAACTGGAAATAAAAAGAATAAATGAATTTTCTAAAAAGAAAGAAGATTTCAAACACTCATTTATATGTACTAAATTTCTTGGACAGAGGGAGAATATTGTTGCCAAGGAGACCAAAGCAACCATTGAGCAGCAAATTCAGCTCTTTAAAGAAAATCCACAACAATTTATTGTACAGAATGTTTCATCCTACAACAGCTTTTCAAAAGTCAATAGAATGGTTTTAATGAGGTCCTTGAAACCTGGTTTACAATGTCACTAACATTTACTAAATATTTGGTTTATAGAGTCTTCTTCAGTGATAAGACTAGAGTAAGTCAGACAACTTAGGTTCAAGTCCCATTTATACCACTTAAAAGCTATATGTCCTTGAGCTAGACATTTTCCTTTTCTGAGCCTAAATTTCTTTACTTGTAGAAATGGGGATTAGCTACTACCTGCCTACCACACAGGACTGATGTGACTATCGAATCAGACTTAGAACATTTTTAAAAGGTTGAAACACTACACAAATAAATTCAAAGAATAAGTCTAACATGTCCCCAAAGTAATAAAGCCATATGTACTTTCTACTCTTCATTGATTAAATCCCAAATTAAGTAAAGTATTAGAAAAATGTGAACAAAAAAATGTTATATAAACTAGTATCATAAAAATTAGATTGAACGAGGTGGCAGATCCCAGTTCCAGTCAAGGCTCCACAGATGGAAAATTTCCACAACTTCTTTGGGTCTCTACACTATGAAATTGGACTAGACCACCTTTGTAGAGGTGCTTCATGGGTGTGCCTTCCATCAACAATGACTTAAAAGGGAATCTGTTCACCACCTTTTTTATCTGGGCTATATTTTGCTTGAGAAAACCTTTACTATTAGATGTTTGTAAAGCACTGGCTTAAAATTAAGGCTTTTATTCCCATTTTGAGGCTTTTCATAAACATACACTATCTTTACCTCTACATTCTACTTTTTCTCAACATAGACCTACATTCTGAGACCAGGGTGCTCTACTTATTATTTCTTATAATGCCACAGCCAATTCCTGCCTCTGCATTATTGTCAATATATAGGAAGTTCAACACCTTTGCTGCTGCTGCTACAGCTAACTGAGCAGCTCTGCCTTGTGCCCCACTTGCACTCCCTACACACCCACCCACCCACCCAAACTTTTCCAGCACTTAATATCTTGGACATAGAACTGCTCTCAAAAAGTTAAAATTCCCAGTGGATCAGAAATAGGACATAGTTTTCATGTTAAAGAGAACCTGGCTTCTAGGCCAGCACAACTTGTCTGTAATTTTACAAAATGTATGAAAACATCGAAAGAAAAAAAGGAATGAGGTAGAAGCCTTGGTCAGCCCTAGAGCATAGAAAGAGAGCACTGTTAGTAGAGTCATCTGTGCACTGCCTGGAGGAGGAATGCCTTGATTCACTGACTTGTTGGGTTCTAATAGTAGGACAGTCCATCGTGGAGATGAATGGATTTACTTGTTACAGGCTGATGCTGTTAAATGTTTAAGTCATATGTGTTACTCCCTATGATTTGATTTCATGACCACCAAATATCTTCTGATTCTCTGACTTCTCTTATAGTGTATCTAGAAAATGCTGACTAGAAACAAGTCTACTTAGCTATTATATCTGTACCATAAATGAATAAAATAGCATTCTGAATTCAGATATTGGTTTCTGTGACCTTGAGTAGAGTGAGTCCACCCTGAGACAAGGTAGGCTAGCTAATTCGTCTGAAGGCCTAAGAACTAGAAGGCCAGATCCTGGACTGGTAAATTTACCAACAGAAAACCACCCCATGAAAACTATGTGGGGTACTACAGACTGCCCAATAAACTCACTGTCTTGTTATGCTATTTTCTTAACACTTACACACACCATTCTTTATTCAAGGTCTCCAAATACATACTATAGCCCTTCTATGACCTGGTCTTTACACACCTTTCCAAAAATTTCTATGTACCCTAAGCTACATACAGCAGAAACAAATGTTCTAAGTACACACATTAAAGTTTCCATCTCTCTGCTTGTCCTACTCCTCCTTTTCATGTTAGCAAGTCTAAATTTTAACTAATTTTGAAAATTTTGAAAATACAACACCCCTTTTTTCATGAAGACTTTTCAAAGTACACCAACCCACCAAAGCTAAAATTAGTAATTTTGTTGACCAAGGCAAGTAGCAAATTCCCATCAGATCAATTTATAACTTATTATGATCATATGCCTCATCAGAGTCATGACGAATCAGTGGCATTTTTAACTGAATAGGTATTAATCAAGTGTTAAACTCAATTTCTCTGTTAAAAGACTACATGTGCTGTCAACATGTAATGTAATAAATGCTATAAGTCTGACCTATTATTTTGTATTTCTGCACTGTAAATTTCAGTGCTTGAAATTTCAGTGCCTATCTTGCCTAGTATCAATCTACAGTAGATACACCTTTGTTTCCCAATTTAATGTATTCTCTCCCACTAAAAGAGGGATCAAAGAAGAAATATTGTTTTTCTTAAATTATAAATAAAATTATTTAAATCTATTCCTCTCTTAAGGACACTTATTACTTGCTCCCTGTATTATATTTGTGTTTTATCTTCCCTTCTATATTCTTTGAAGATATGACCCATATCTATTTCATCTTTCTCAGCCAGGGCCTTGTATGTAGAGGGCACTTTAAATATAAATTCAGAGGTTCTCTTCCACTTTCATGAAGGTTCTCCTCATACTTTTTATATGTATTCCATCTTCTCATGGAGTCTTCCTTGACCATCCCAGTCTATAGTTTATTCCCACTTTTTAACATAAGAACTGACTGCCTATAAGCCAATTAATTGCCACCAAAACTACTCTAGTGTTATCTTTTTATGTGCATTTTATACTTTAAAAAAATATTTCAGTATATCCCAACATGGACAATTAATAAATATTAATTCATTCAACCAATCTTAAAAATCAATCAGGAGGGCCGGCCCGGTGGCGCACTGGAGAGTGCGCTGCTTGGGTGCACAGCGGCGCTCCTGCCGAGGGTTCAGATCCCATGTGGAGACCGGTTCCCGCTCACTGGCTGAGCGCAGTGCGGGCGCAACACCGAGGGTTGCGATCCCGTTGCTGGTCCCCAGTACGGGTGCGACACCGAGGGTTGCAATCCCGTTACCGGTCAGTAAAAAAGACAAAAAGGGAAAAAAAAAAAAAATCAATCAGGAGACTCATTAGGAAAAGTATAGTCAAAATTGGCACCTAAAGAAAGCAAAAAGAATCTTACTATTCCAAGTGTGGTCCACAGACCAGCAGAATGTCCAAGATGCAAATGACCAAGTACCATCAAATACCTCATTGTAATTGTTTATTTGTTGGCCTTCCTTATCCGCTAACTCAAGGCTTGTTGAGGGCAGGAACCCTTTCTATCTTCCTCACCACTAACATTTCCTCCTGGGCTTAATCGGGCCTAGAACATTACCCAGAGATCAGTATTTTTTTGCTCAATGCAAGAATGACTGAACGAAGTAAAAATAAAACTTTTTCAGAAAGCTAATCCTTTAGGAAATCCTTTTGTACAACATGATTTCACATACTATTATACAAATTCCCTAATTCAGCATTGCTACTTCCATTTTTAATGTGCTGCCTTCTCTACGTCAACAAATGTATTTTATGCACTTGACAAAGCAAAAGCTTATATTATCTTCCTCTGTCGGAGCCACCAGGAGCCTCTTTTACAAGTGAGATAGCTGTATTTTAATCCTGGCATTCACAAATCCATTTCATATGCCCGCACGAAATTTATTCACCGCAACAATTTGGGGGTGGGGAGCAGAGGAGAAACGGTTAAGGCAAAACGATTCTGTATTAGGAGCATCATATGAAACCTGGAAAACACAATTCTTTGAACAGGATACTTCTAGAAAATAACTGCCGGCAAGGGAAAGAAATAAGAGGTAAGAGAACCCTTGCCTTTCTCAAGAGCAAAAGGTGACACAGGGAACACCGAGGAGTGATAAAAGACAAGCGGCTACCTAGCGACAGAAGGTGGAAACACACCAGACCAGAACTAAAGCGGATAGCGGTCAAAAACGACCAAGAAGGGTGCCAGAAACCAGGTTTGCAGAGAAGGAAGTCAAGAGAGAAAAGGGAAAAGAAATAGTTCTGTGAAGGGTATAACTTACGATGATTAATTTTTTTTTTTTTTTTTTTTTTTTTTTGAGAAAAGATGACACGCACTTGAAGGGAGGGGGGTGAGGGGGGAAGGGAGGATGCAATTTAGCGCACCGCAAAAGGAAGCGACTGCAGATGTCCCTGCCGGGCTCAGACTGCCCGAGGCAGGCAGCCCCGGCACAGGTGGGTGGCAACGCCCGGCTCCGCTGCTCACCCCGTGGCCCGAGCCATCGCCTCTGAAGCCTGCGGAGCCCAGGATGGGGATAGGGAAGTACGGGCTGTGTGTGAGAGGGCGTGAGGGAGGAGGCGGCGGATGCCGGGTTGACCAGGTACCCACCTTATCCCAACGAAGCCACTGCTCGATGGCCGTGTCTAGCTGAGGGTCCCCGGTGTGGTAGGGGGTGTGCAGCAGGTTGGAGTTCAGGTCGCCCTCTGCGTTTTCAGCCATGGCAGCCAGACTGGTGTGAGCGGGCCTGGGGGACCGGCGAAGACACCAATTTGGGGCGGCTGCGGTGCGCTCACTAGGGTCTGGACGTCCCCTCCTCACTGAAGGGCATCAGAGACCAACCGCAGGATGTTTGCGCCAGCTCTTGCCGCAGCTTTCGGGAAACGGCAGAGAGGGCGGGATAGGGCCGCCCGCTCTCCAGAGGACCAGGTCCGGGTCTCTGGGAGAACTGACTGAGGCAGTCGCGCCGGGAGAGAACAACAGTCCCAGATGTCTGGGTCTCAGCTGCCGCCGCCGCCCTCGCCGCCTCAGGCCCCGCCCCCCGCGCAGTCGGCCCCGCCCCTTCCCTCCTCTGCTGATTTAAGAGCCGGAGGCATGAAGCTCGAGCGCGCTCCTGACGCCCTCCGTGCAGCGTGAGTTTACGGTCCGCCGGGGTGGTGAGGAGATGGTGCAGGGCTCTTTTGATTTTCTAATTTGCCTTTCGCCGGGCGTCTTATCCTTGCTACCATCCCCACACACTCCCATGCGTCTCCTTTTCTCGCCCTGCCCTTATGACCACCACGAGCAACCCGACTCAGCGATCTCCCTCCGGCGGCCAAAGCGGCCGTGCAGACACCCGGTTTCGTCTTGGGGCACGCGCCTGGGGTGGGGGGGGATGTGCGCGTGCTCTCCGCGCACGGCCTCACGGGAGTAGTAGTTCTTTCCTTTCCTCAAGCTCAGTGGAGACCGCCGCAGAGACTACGATTCCCAGCAGCCCTGCGCCCTCCCTTTCTCAAAGGAGAAAGCTTTACCTCGAGGCTGTTCCCTACGGACACGCCCTGTCCCCGTTGGTTATGCTGCATATGGCTCTGGCATTAAATTAAATTAAACAAGGAATGACATAATAAGGGAACAACTGGTGTCCATTTAGTGATTTACAGTTTACGAATCGCGTTCTATGGCTTCAAGCACCTCGTGAGGTAGGTGGACGTGATCCATTCCTATTTTACACACAAAGGGGAAATTTATTCACTGAGAGGTGAACCGACTTTCTACGAGGCAGAGTTCGTGAGTGATAAAACTAGGGTTCCAACCTCGTTTCAGATTTCCGCAGCTAGCAGTTATTTTAGCTCTGCTGCTGCAGTGGACTAGGAGGTAGGGAGAACAAGATGACTAGAAAATAGAAAAGGAAGTCGATAAAGAGGGAAGATGGCATTTAACCTTAACATAAGAATGTGTAAACGTCGTAAGATACAAAGAGCAAATGGGAATATAGAGGGAGAAAAAATTGGTTGTTCCAATTGAAATAATGTTTAGTTTCTTCTTTTGTTAGCCGCCCCTCTTCTATGGAATGCTCGCCTTTCTTTTCATTTTTTTGGCAGTTGGCCGGTAAGGGGTTGCGAACCCTTGACCTTAGAAAGTGCTCACCTTTCAAGTCCCATAACTTGTAGTCTGGGAGATGCTGAGAAGTGCTTACTTGTAAGCCACCCAGCTGCTCCTGAGCTTGTAGGTTTGGCCTTATTACAATGGCTATGATTTTGACCACCTATCTTACAACTCTTTCCCTAGTCAGCTTTTTTGTAAGGAGGGTATAGTAATATTTACACCATAGCTGTACAGTAACTTAATACATGGCTTTAGAGTACTTTGAGGTTCACAGATAAAAGACGTAATAAATTCAAAGTATTACTTTCTTTCCTTTAAAGTGTCATTTACCATAATAAAATCCAAACCACCAAGGTACAAAAGGATCATGGTGCCAATTCCTGAAAAATAACATGCCATTGTTGAGAGTTGCAGTTTTTGCTAAGCAAGTGAGTGTTTCTTTTATGGAGTCAGCAGGTTCTTTTAATTACACAAGGCCTGGGAAACAACCATGTGTCCTGAAGAGAAATTCATCTTCCACTATCATCATGATTATTGTCCATGACAAATATTAATTAAACATTTACTCTATGCTAAACATTATGTTAGGAGCTGAGGCTACAAGAATGCATGGAATCGCTCATTTCAAGAAATAAAAGATGTAATCGCAATTTGTGGTAATGGGTATGCTGCCCATATTGATCTGGCCATCACATCTTGGGCACAAGGGAAGTGGTGATAGTCAGCATTGTACCCCATGAATATTCATAACCAATAAAAAATAAAATAAAATGTAAAAAAAGTCTTTATGATTGTAATTTATTTTAACTACAAACACTATGTTGATTTTGGTAATAGGGAACTTTTTAAGGTAAAAGTAAATGAATAAAAGATGTCATAGCCTCAAAAAAAAAAAAAAAAAGGAAATAAAATCTGTCTGGGGAGACAGGATATATGCAAGAAAAGATAGCCCATGACAAATGGCAAATGCTTTCTGCAAACCACTGTTAGTGAATTTAAGTCTGAGGTGGTCAATAAAAGCATCTAGTGGAAGGAGAAACCTGCACTGGGCTCCGAGGAACAGAAAATAAACAAATTGAGAAAAAGGTAGTGGGCACTTCAAACCCATAGACCAGCGGTTCTCAAATCTCCCTAGGAATTTATTTTAATGTATATTTCTGGACACTACCCCAAGAGATTCTGACTCAGTACATTAGGATAGGGCCTAGGTACCTGCATATTTAAAATACATATTGACTGTGACATAGGTGGCCATCATCTTGCAACTCAAAGTGAGATAGGAGTACCAATGTGTTGACATTCTCTGGAAGCTTATTAAGAAATACAAAGCTTCAGACCCCACTCTAGTTCTACCAGATGAGAATCTACATTTTAACAAGATCCAATGATGATTTATATTTAAATTTGATAAGCAGTGGTTTTTGTAAGACAATTCTTATTCAATTCAATGCAGAGAAACACTACTAAATCAACAGAACTTTCAAGAGATAGAATTATAAAAGGCAAATGTAGAAAACAGAAGAAATACAAGCTTTAATTGAATACCAGAGTTAACTAACCTTCACTTTAATCAGCAAGATTATAAAAGACATTAATTGATTACCAGAAATCTTGCCCAGTGGTTTAGGCTTATTGTTTAGGCATTGAAGGGTAATGAAGGAGACCCAGAACTCATCAAATCCAATACCAATGTCTAAATGTGTCCAGAAGAGGGAGTATAGTAGTTTCCTAGTCAGGGAAAGCTCAGAAGCTTTTATTTTGGTTGGAATTTGCCCAGGGCAACTCTGGCAACCCTAACTGTGGTTATGAAAGAGAATATCCTTCTTGGTCTTTGTATATATACACAAAAACGCACATACACACACACACACACATAAGTTGTGTGTAATATATAGTATATAATTATATATTACATATCATATATATAATTTATCTAATATTTTAGGATCATTATATATATAACTTACCCTCAAATGGTTCAGAAAAATGCTATGTATATGTATATACAAATATTTACTATACATGTGTACATACAAATATGTGAGGGTACTTCAAAAGGTTTGTGGAATAATAGAATTAAAAGATAATACGAATCCTTCTATTTATCTATAGTTAGATAAACAGCAAATGATAAAGCAAATGGGGGAAATGTCAACAATAGGTGAATCTGGGTAAAGGATATATGGGTATTCTTTTTATTATTTTTACTTTTGTAAATTTGCTTGAAATTATTTCCAAATAAAAAGGTTCAAAAGAAAACCTCAAGTTTATAAGAAATATCCATCTCTTTATTATTTCTAGAAATCTAATTAAAAGACTCTCATTCTGTTAGCGTAGCAAGAAATTAAACTTTTAGGGGCCGGCCTGTGGCTCACTCGGTAGAGTGCGGTGCTGATAACACCAAGGCCACGGGTTCGGATCCCATATAGGGATGGCCGGTTCGCTCACTGGCTGAGCGTGGTGCTGACAACACCAAGTCGAGGGTTAAGATCCCCTTACTGGTCATCTTTTAAAAAAAAAAAAAAGAAATTAAACTTTTATCAGTATCAGGGGTTTCTCTCCCTACCAAGGTTTTCTGTGCTACTGGGTAAAACAAGAGGAGTCTATAATTGTAGTTCATCAAGGTTTCTGCCAACATCTGCTTTGTCCAGGTCCATAGTGGTCACCGACACTGGGTGTCTGACAGCTTTCTCCTTACATACCATTTATGAACAATCACCAGGAAACTTGGCTGAGGCTAAGAACCCTGAAGCCTCTGTCTAGGTTTACCACATAGCCATGCCCTCTAAAATTTTGCCCATTCCTTGAAATGCTGCCACTAAGCAGAGCTCAGGGTCTCTCTCTAGTATTACCTTCCTATTTTAAGATCTTAAATTTTGAGGAAATCATTCTGCTCTGTGATTGCTGTGAAAAGAGGAGTATTTCACTTCTTTTTGCTCACGAAGATACTTGTCATAAACTTGAGAGAAAGAGAGATGGAGACAGAGAGAGAGAGAGACACAGAGTGAAAGTGAGGGAATCAGGGAAAAACCAGGGAAGGAAGTATCTTGCAAGCAACTTTCTACTTTTAGCCCTGTTACATAAAACTTCCTTTGAGGCAAGGGGATTCAACAACAACAACAAATGAAAAGGTGTTTTATCTTTGTTTAAGGGCGGGGGGATGCAGAACACACCCAGGATGACAGCTAAGCGAGGCAAAGAACCCAGGGTGCAAAATATAAGGAAGCACTTGCTTATAAGGTTTGTGGGAGTGCAGGGTTGGTGCCTGAGAGTGAGTGCCTCATTAAATTTTTTTAACACCTTTTTTGAGAGATAACTCACATGCCACACAATTAATTCATCCACTTGAAGTGTGCAATTCAATGGTTTTTTAGAACTACACTCACAGGGGCTGGCCCATGGCTCACCTGGGAGAGTGTGGTGCTGATAACACCTAGGCCAAGGGTTTGGATCCCTATATAGGGATGGCCGGTTAGCTCACTTGGGAGAGCGTGGTGTTGACAACACCAAGTCAAGGGTTAAGATCCCTTTACTGGTCATCTTTACAAACAAAACAAAACAAACAAAACAAAAAACAAAACCTACACTCACATGTATGTGCAAACATCATTACAGTCAATTTCAGAACATTTTCACCACCTCAGAAAGAATACCTTGTGCCCTTTAGCTATCAGCCCCCTATCACCCTATCTCCCTACCCTCAGGCCTAAGAAACCACTAATCTACTTTGCATCTTTGTAGATCGCCCTGTTCTGAACATTTCATCTAAATTGAATCATATAATATGTGGTCTTTTGTGACTGGTTTATTTCACTTAATGTAACGTTTTCAAGTGTTGTCCATATTGTAGCATGTGTCAGTACTTCATTCCTTTTTATAGCTGAATAATATTTCAGTGTATGGATATACCGAATTTGTTGATCCATTTTTCTGTTGATGGACATTTGGGTCATTTCTGCCTTTTGGCTATTATGAGTAATACTGCTGTAAACATTCATGTACAAGTTTTTGTGGGGATATGTTTCTCTTGGGGATATGTCTAAGAGTGGATTTGCTGCATCATTTGTTTTATCACTTGAGGAACTGCCAAACTGTTTTCCAAAGTGGCTGTACCATTTTACATTTCCACCGGCAATACATGAGGGTTTT